TTATTGCAACATGCCTCAAATCTTCTTCTTCTTCCGGGATTCAGATCTGTCCATGAAGTCCGCCGTTTGATTTCCGACCCACACTCGCAGTAACGACGCCTGCTATTTGAATCTGTCGAACTCTCCGACATTTTTCCTTCCCTTGCAACCCCTTCTCATGTCTTTAGTTCTTCAATCTTCATTTGGGGGTCGAAGCCAAGGGTTTAAGGCGAGTGTTCAGATTCGAAGGAGAGTCTTCAGACTCGAAAGGACGTTTTTACCCCTCATTTTGACGGACAAATTGACAGAATTGGACGGCAGGACCTAATTGCACCCTCTTGTCAAATTAAAGTACGAAATTGCCACAAAATTTAGTTCACGGACCCAATTGCAACTGGGGCCATAGTTGACGGACGTCTACAGTAATTAACCCTAAAATTTATACCCCAACCATAACCTACACATATAGAGAGACGGGGACATAAAAATATTAAATAATTTTATTTTGTTAAACTTGACAAAAACTCCCAATTTTAAAGTGCGTTGTGAGTCAAAAAAGATGTCGGCATCCTTGTTTAAGTGAAGACCTCTTCACTTGAAAGTCTTCAATAATAATATACAAATACACTGTTATATTTGTGGTAGAAAATAGGTAAATATATTATTACTGTTATATTAGTGTCGTATAAATACTAACATAATATCCCAACTTAAAATTTCTCAGCCATCAGCCCACCCGCGACCCATCTCTCTCAGTCTCTGTCGTCTCTCACTCTGAACTCTCTCACCCTCAGTCCCGTTTTCGGCTGCTCACATATCCAAAATCAAAATCTGAAGCAAAGAGGAAGATGTTGGCGTCAAATCCAAACCTAACAAAGTGCCCCTTCTTTCCCACTCGCTACGTTCCCATCTCCCGGTCTTTCCACATCACATGTAGCGTTTCGCAGTTGCAATCGGCGGCGGAAGTGGTGAATGGAAGAGTCTCCGAGAGGAACGAGATTCGTCTTGGTTTGCCGAGCAAGGGCCGCATGGCGGCCGACACTCTTGATCTTCTCAAGGACTGTCAATTGTCCGTCAAGCATGTCAATCCGCGCCAATATGTTGCACAAATCCCACAGGTTCCTTCTCTTTCATTCAAATTCTTTATCTTTTTTCTTTTATTTATTTATTTTTGAAAAAAAGAATTGAAATTCATTTCTCCATGAATTTTCACTGCAGCTTTCGGATTTGGAAGTGTGGTTTCAACGGCCCAAAGACATTGTGCGGAAATTGTTGTCTGGAGACTTAGACCTTGGCATAGCCGGTTTTGATACCGTCAGCGAATATGGGCAGGTAACCATCACCTATGTATCTTATTCATTCAATTTATTGGTTTTAGGGTGTGCAGTTGTATATGTAATTGGGATTTAGGGTGCACAATTGTAAATGTAGTTGGGTTCTATTCAGCACTATAAAATTCTGCATGAAAAATTGATTTCCATCTCAATATCATCAAATCTTTAGAAACTAATGATGTCGTCTTCCATGCTAGCTGTGTATCTTGGATATTGGAAAGCATAACCCAGAATGTATTTACTTAGAAGTTCAAATTGATAGATATGAAGTTGGTCCTTTGTTTAAAACATATGAAAAAATAAAAAATAAAAAAATAATCTTAGTATGTTCTCCTTTTTTTTTTTTTTTTTTTTGTGGAATTTGTTTAGAAGTTTTCATAACTTGCTATCATTATTATTTTTTTAATCGTCGGGCCAAACAATGGAGAAAGCTATATAATTGACACCAACAGTCATGTGTCATCCCATGTGCTGTTACTGTGTGCAAAAACGTTGATTTTTGTGATTTTAGTCATCATTCAATCATGATCTCTCAATTTCTTGATACTTACCTCAGACCAATCATAGCTTGCTTGTTTTGCCTTTGGTTTTGCCATGATACCTCTGCCAAAAGGTATGAATCAATATTCAGTCGAAACATTTTAAAATGATTGATAAACAGATTATCACTGTTTTTCCTTAGTAATTTGTGTATGTTTAAAAATTACCTGCAGTCATGTCGTCCTTCTCTTGAAGAAATATTTTCTATTTCCTTTGCTTGTTATCCAAAATGACGAACATTGATATTTAAAACTTATCATCATTTGGATTACTTGCCAAAAAGAAAAGAAGGAAGGCCTCCAACTACAGTAGGCTTTCCCCCTGTTTTAATCCCTTGACGTCAGACCTGTGAATGTAGTTGACCAACCAGGAAATAAGTCAGAGCCAGAAACAGATGGAAATGTGCATGCACTTGCAGAGTAACAACTCATAAAGCAATAGGCTATGTCTTCCTTTTAATCGCTTCTGAGACCTTTGGATAGTCCACAGCATAGCTACTTGACCAGTAAAACAGTGTATTCTTTTGGAAGACCTCTGTTATATATTTTGTTAATACAAGGGATATTGGGGGAGAGATAGACCTCAAGTGCAAGTGTAAATGTTCTTAACCACTGAGCTACAATCCCCTTGCAGCTATGTTATATTTAAGAATTGAGTGTTAGATAAATCTTTGGAAGCAGGCCATCTCATAGAATCTGTCCTCTTTTGCACTCTTTCATTCTGCATATTGTGTCAGAAAAATTACTTCATGTTCTTCTATTATATTTTCATTGTTTATTATTTTTTTCTTGTCCAAAATGAATATGAAGAATTGCATTGGTAATTAAAGCTTATCACTCGTATTACTTGTTCAAAGAGAACGGAACACTAATCATCTAAAGTTCTATTTTAGGGGAATGAAGATCTTGTCATTGTTCATGATGCTCTTGATTATGGGGAATGCCACTTATCCCTTGCAGTGAGTTACTTTCTTATTACCCACATAGCCAACTCCAGTTATCTCACTCATATTTCCTTTAATGGCCTTCAAATATCCTTTGTTTTTTCAGATTCCCAAATATGGGATTTTTGAGAATATAAATTCACTGAAGGATTTAGCACAAATGCCTCAATGGACTGAAAAGAAACCTCTGCGAGTTGCTACTGGCTTCACCTATGTACGCAATGTGTTTAAGATTTTTTCACTGTATTATTCATCACTTTCCATTTTGGGAATAAGTTTCTTTTGTTATCTTATTGGAAATAAGGGTTCTGTTTGGATTTAATTTCTCTTTTGTCTTCTACTGCAGCTGGGTCCGAAATTTATGAAAGAAAATGGACTGAACCATGTGACCTTTTCAACTGCCGATGGAGCACTCGAGGCAGCTCCTGCGGTAAGCATATGCTTTGTCAGAGTAAAATTTGGTGTGGTTGCTTGAACTTATGAGGAGCATTGCCTGCTGTCTGAATGTAGTTGCATTGCTCCCAGCATAATATAAAGCATGATGTATATTTCCCAGTATATGTATCATGATTAACAATGTCTTCAATTCATTGTCTCCTGATTCCTTTCCAGGAGAAACATAGGCTATTGGTTTGTCTAGTTTTTGTTTCAAAGTATTTTGTTTCAAATAATTTTATGTATCAATATGTAACCTATAAGTCGTCTCATTCAATGTTATACTAGTCCAGAACTCTGCTGGTGGATTCTAGCTGCTGCAGTTAATATTATGATATTTCTTGAAGAGACTGAATCCATGCTTAAGTTCTAGATGACCATACATTCAAATGACTCTTTTGTTAGCTAGTTGTTTCATGGAGATGGTCTTCAATCTTTTGTACAATCTAGTTTGATGTGGTGTTGTTGACCTTGGCATTTGAAGCTAGGGTTTTTTTTTTATACTTATCAATAAAAGTAGAAAATAATTAATTGCCACCTCTCTCTTTTGAATTTAGATGGGGATAGCTGATGCAATTTTGGACCTTGTGAGTAGTGGGATCACACTGAAAGAAAACAACTTGAAAGAGATCGAGGGGGGAGTTGTGTTGCGAAGCCAGGTAAGGTTCTTGCTTTATGGCCCATCTCACCTAGCATGTGATCTTGTAGGTTTAAGCATGCTACTTAGAAGGAGCTTGTTCAACTGCCTGCTCTTTCCATATCGTCTTATGCTTGTAATTAGATTTTCTTTAGGCAGTTCTTGTTGCAAGCAAGAGATCGTTGATCAAAAGGAAAAGTGCACTGGACACGACACATGAGATTCTTGAAAGATTGGAGGCGCATCTAAGGGCTGAGGGTCAGTTCACGGTGCGTATCTGAAAACCTATTTTTGTACCTTCAGGATTTTTTTTCCCATACTTTTTAAATTTTCTTTTCATGCATTCATAACAGGTAACTGCAAATATGAGAGGAAGTAGTGCAGAGGAAGTGGCTGAGCGTGTCTTGAGCCAGCCATCATTATCAGGTTTGCAGGTGAGGTGTGAAATGAAGCATCACTCTCTAACCATGAACCTTGAGTTCAAGTTGCAGTATACACTAATAACTGGTCTTTTATGGTGATATACTGACCCTTTTTCACTTTGATGAGTTTCTAAATAATCTACATGGTAACACATCCAGGGACCCACCATAAGTCCAGTTTTTTGCAAACGTGATGGGCAAATTGCTTCTGATTACTTTGCCATAGTCATATGTGTACCCAAAAAGGCGCTCTACAAGTCTGTACAACAACTGAGAGCGGTGAGCCATGATAATGTATTATAAGCATTGTTCAATGTTATGTAAAATGAATCCTCGCTTCTCAAATGCTATGAGAGTGCTTGTTCTGTTGACCAGCACCCTCACATTCATGCAGCGAAATTCTTCTGGCTTATGTATTTTAACTTTACAGTATATAAAAGAAACAAATAAGAGGATGGCAGTTGGACTGTTCAATCAGAGGTTTAGTTTCGTCATAATTATTTTTTAAATATTGTAGGGACTAGGAAAATATTTTGAATTGGCTAGGAGCTTCTCTAGTTTGTTTATTTTTTGCACAACAGCATGCTCTTGTTTGGTTGGTTAATTGACAGACATGCCACCTAGATACATAAGCAGCCAACTCTGCCCTTTATTTGTTTCACAATGACAAATGAACATTGGTTTGAACTGGTTTCTAGTTTTCAGTTGGTCATTTTTTTAATATGCTGGAACAATGGTTCTAAATTAGAACTGGTTTAAACCTTGGATGTGGAGTTTCTCTGCAGATATCATTGTGTCTGCCTCTTGTACACAAAGGCATATTTTTTAATTATTAAATTTTGAATCTAGGTCCATGTTTCATTTAAGATTTTCCTTTCCTATGTGGAGTTTCTCTGCAGATATCATTGTGTCTGCCTCTTGTACACAAAGGCATATTTTTTAATTATTAAATTTTGAATCTAGGTCCATGTTTCATTTAAGATTTTCCTTTCCTTGGATACTGGGGTTTAATCTCCTATAATTTGGTGCAGATTGGAGGCAGCGGTGTTCTAGTTTCCCCTTTGACCTACATTTTTGATGAAGAAACTCCAAGATGGCGCGAACTTCTCTCAGCACTTGGCCTCTAGTTCTCTCTCTCTCTGTGGTCGATGCTGTGCAAGGTTTGTTATATTTTTGTAGGTATGCCAATATTTAAGAGTTTGATGAGCAAGCCCATCTAGATACCTGCAAATGGTTAGAGGTTGGAAAAGGTGTACTTAAATTAGGACTTAAACTTTGAAATTCTTGTACTCTCTTTATGTTTGAATTGAAAATTTGGTATGTAATCAGAGTGGCGGCGTAAGACAATTTTTGCTAGTCGTATGCAATTTTACTTTTACCTGTGTTTCCTTATTTTGGTTAAATTTTGCAATTGTTTATGATGCAAGGTCAAATAGGTACCCGAGATGGATGCAAATAATTATGTGATCATTTTGCTCCTCTTTTGAGAAAGATCTATTTTGAAGTCTTAAAGAGAGATGTAGAAGTTAATTATGACTAGAAGATTCGACAACTGCAAATAGAATAAGATGGAACAGCACATGTTCAAAGATCAATACTATAGGTTAATTGGTAAACGTACACAAGCCATCACCTTATGTACTTCCATTGTACAAGACCTCATGAATTTTTTTAGTAACTGACTCTCGGAACTTCCTGCATTCAAAATATTTTTAACAAGTATGATAGTAAAACAACTTGGACACGTTCTTTCTTTGGTTCAATGTCGACTTAATACTTTGAAATGGCCTAATATAGAATAGACATTTTATAAAATACACAGTGGTATAATGCTAGTAAGATGACCATCAAGTCCAAAAACAAAAAAGCAATACTTTAACAACCAAAAACTCCAAAGCTGCACCTCAGTTTCTTATGTACTACTTGAGTAGTCAGATCCTGCCAATAGCAATTTATCAAAAACATTAGTTGTCATGAATAAGAATTGAAGAAAAAAAATACAATTGGTAATGCTGGTAAAGTATATATACCTGAACTGTCCGAGTGCTGCAAGAAACACAAGAGAAAAAGAAAATTTAAAAAGTTCCCATAGATTTTACTTAAAGTATATATACCTTTCTTATTCTTGTACATTTACATCATGGTCTAGCTACTTAAAAGTTTTCTTCAGTGCCTATATCCTCGAAAAGAACACCAAAATGCAGTGGTATACTGAATTAAGTGACAGCAGTTGCGTTTTGTTCAATACACACAAAAGCAAAAGAGAGAAAAAAATGTTCCCAACTCAGTAACCACAACACCGTTGCCTCACCAACTCAGTAATTGCTTCTATTTGCAGATCGATAATCTTCGGTGATTGAGAAGTGAGATTCTCAATCGCCGAAACATTGGGGATTGAGATGCCTACTTGCCTGCGACGACCTCGTTTGGGTTTTGTCGTTCCGAGGCCGCTTGTTTCACGAGTTTGACTGCGGGCATTTACAGTCATCGATGGTCCACTTCGCCTGAAAGAAGCAAAACATGTTGGCCTCGTCGTTCAAGCCTGAGATCGATTATTCCGATTCTTCATACGCGGGAAGTCGGGTTCGCTCGTCGCATGATTTCAAAGTCGCTTGAGTTTCGATCAGTTTCTTTCTTCAGTGTGTGAATGCTTGAAGTTTTGTCCACCGACAGTGCTTGGCTAATTAGTTCACTTCTCTTTTTCCATCTCTGAGTATTATCCTTCGTCATTTTCTAGCTGTGTGCAATTGCTAAACTAAATTATGATCTAGCTTAATTGGTCTCTGCAAGAAACTGCTTTCTATCTTTCTTTCTAAACAACAAAGGCCACAAATCAACATAAACATCCAATTTGGAGATTTTTTTTTTATCCCTCATTTCTCATTCTCAGTATATACATCCAATTTGGAGATTTTTTTTTTATCCCTCATTTCTCATTCTCAGTATATACATCCAATTTGGAGCTAGCCCAGATACATGTGTATTCATGTTTTGACTTGTAGGTTTGCAGGTTTTGGATAGGGAGATGAAGTCATCTTCTTCTTCTTCTCTTCCTTTTGCTGCCCCCTTCAAGAAAGGTATGATGTGTTTCTTAGTTTCAGAGGTGTGGACACACTAGATACTTTTACCAGGAAACTTGCTCTTGTGTTCAAATTTCAAATTTCAAATATTTTTCGGTGCAACCAAACCATGCATAATGGTGGCCACCTGGGAAGAGCTTTTCCACCACACTGCGATTTTCCAAGAAGCTCTCTCCTTTTCTCTCTATTCCATTATTGCCTTCACTAAAACCTCTTCTCCACTAATCCCATAACAGGCCTAACTATAGCATCTTCTTCTCATTGTATTCAGTTTGGGCGGGATGGAAATCAGATAATCAAATAAAGAAAGCAGAGGATCCGTCTTGGAAAGTTCCTTTCTTTTTCTGTGTAAATTCCTCTGTTTTCTCAGTACCCAGCTTTAGGGTTTGAGTTGTTGCCCTAAATCCTATTCTACACCCTAGACCTAGAGTAATTTTCCAGACCAAAAAAAGCACCCTAGAGAATAGAGTACATGTACATAATCGCATCTTCGAACAGCTGGAGACTCCGCAAAGCCGATTTCAGTCCAGGAAACTTTTTTACAGATATTCATATGATAATAATATAAATTCACATAATCGCTTTCTGTATAAGTCATTCTCTGCTTTACAGATAAGGTGCGGCTAGCTGTTTTCAAAGTGTTCTTTGTCACAATTCAATTAAACTAAGTATTAAAATTCATTAATCAGAATGGTAAACAGAGTAAAAGCATCAACTGTCAACTCTAATAATTTATAATTAAATATTTATATAATTAAATCAAATTAATTTATATATAAACATGTTTTGACCTATGAACTTTAATTGGCGTGCGGACCCATGCATGCCACTGTAGACACGTGGTTGCATTTTATTCGAAGTACACATGCACGTACGTAATATGTACATGGGTAGAATAAAACATTAAACTAAACAAATTTTTTTGCATAAACCCATGATGGATTGTACAAAAATACAAGTGGCATTAATTCAAGGAAGCTTTGACAAAGCCAGTTGTAATTTTGGAGTTTTGATCGATTCTCCAATTAAAAAATTATATCTTGCAATAATTTATCATCTTGACATTCTATATATTTATAAGTAATTTACTTAACAATTATTAATCATGGAATAACCAGTTTATTTAATTAATTGGTAGCTGCAGTTGACTTGTTAATAAAATGAACACGTGGGTCAGGCTTGGCCAGGGGTAGACCACAACTTGTAATATGTAAGCTTGGGCTAAATATTCTAACATTTTAGTTAATTTATTGAGTTCCCCATGATGTTTGCTTGTGATTTACATCGTTGTTATAATCAAATTAAAAAAATATATCAATGGCGTCAATGGGAGTCTAGTTCAATGAAAAATGGTCTTCATTTGTAGGTCATTGGTCTTAAGTTCGAACCCAAATGACACTTTAGTAATACGTATGAGAAAATACTCATTCCCTTCCTAACGTACGTTGATGAAAAATAACCCAAAAGAGGGTCCAACATGGATTCAAATACTACATATTATAAACAATAATGTGGAAAATTTGGAATGTGAGCCTAGGATCGACGAGTGCACAATATTGGATCCCAGTAAATTGTCTTGACTCTAAATAATACTATGCTAAATTAAGTTTAAAAAATTCAATGTCAAATTTTAATAAAAATGGGGGAAGTATAGTTTATGCTAGCATGATTAAGCAACTAAGGACATGCACTTCCTGTATTTAGCAAAGACTTTGACTTTAGATATACGTATATATAATATATATACACACACAAACAATACAGAAAAGAGAGTAAGAGATCACTTGAATTTTGACTTTAATACTGTCAACTGATAAATATGTATAAAATGTTTTGACAGAATTGAATATATATTGCTAGATCTCCAAGACTAAAATTTTCAAAAATCTCCAAGTTTTTTTCTTCGTCTTTACAATTGAAAATAGTTGAACTTGGGTCTAACTTAACTCATTTTCGAACCTTTATTCTCATCTAATCCTAACTCAACCCCCGCTTTTTGTGACTAAAGTGACAAAAACTGGAGGTTCTGTTTGAAAAAAAGAAAAAAAAAAAAAAAAAAAAAAAAAAAAAAAAAAAAAAAAAAAAAAAAAAGGTGGTGATCCAAGTAATTTACTTCGGAATTAGTCCCCTTCAATTTTCTCTTTGCTGATGAGTGGGAATGAGAGAAAGTAAAGGACACACTAGTTATTGGACATTGTAATAATTTTGATTTCAATACAAAATCAGGTATATATATATATATATATATAAGCAAGAACATTATCAAACTTCAACATATTTTTTTAATGACATTGCTTTAGTAAACCTGTCACATTAGTTCTATTCACTATCAACCACTTGAAACTTAGGCCCCGTTTGTTTGACCGGAATAATATAGTTGGAATAGGAATGTACTCCATTTCCTCACTATCTTGGAGTTATTTTCTTTTCTAATTTTAATACAGCCAATTAATGAAAGGGCATTTGCAGTGAGTTTACATTCCAAGTAGTTCTATGGCTCTTAAGTGGAATTGACTCCACAGTCAACTTAGGTAAATTCCTTAGTTATGTTTCATTCCAAAACTAGACAAACATCATATATGGATGGAATGGGACAAAATTCCTATTCTTGATCTAAAACTTTAAACTCCAAAAGATAGGATTGTTGGGTTCCATTAAAATCACCACATGCATTTTGATGCTTTACAGGGTTGATCTTCCCCTCAATTTGAAGTAACTCTTTATAGGCATCTATAAGATATTGATGTATCGCCTATCAACCCTTGTACAATGACTCTTTTTCCATTCCAAATGTACTCCTGCAGTAGCAGTGTTGTCACATTACATGGTCAGTGTAATAACAGTTTTGTCATAGTATCAATGTAATAACAGTTATCTTTTATATGTACCAATGTGCAAATTAGTGTGCCATGTTGTTTCAGTTTATTGGTGTGCCTTGTTGTTTTAGTTTCAACATCATAAACATTTCTTACCCATCAAGTGAAAATCTCCAGTATGCTTTCCAATCTTTGCTTGCAGATGGCATCAAGAATGTTGTAAACCCCATAGTGCTAAAGATGCAATATCGAAGTCATTTTGTTTCATGGTCTCAATGCATGACATTTTCTCTCTTTCAAGCAGTTCATAGTTATTCTGCAGGTGCCTCCTCTTCAATTTCTCTTCCACTAGTTGTGCTTGTAGCTTTTTGTTTTGTTCTTCTTGTTGTTCAAGCTTCTTCTTTAGTTTCTTTGTTTTTTTCTGTACAGCTTCCTTTTCTCTACAGATTTTTTCAATAAATGCATTTTTTTCCATGCACGATTGAATTGCAACCTGCATCTTATACTTGAGATCATCTGCTTTGTCTATCCAATAATCAACTGCTTCTTTGAGCTCATGGTTGCGTTCATGGGCAGGCTTCATTTCATCCTTGTAGTACTTTGGTATTGACCCCACCATCTCCACAAAAATGTTTTGATACATCTTTTCTTGGCTGTCGGGTTGGGATTCAAGTTGTTGCTGATGCTTCTCTTGCTGGACATTAACAGTGGTGTCAATTGTGGTCATCAATATCGTCTTAAAAGGAAAAAATATATATAGTTATTTTATTTTCTTTCATAAAATAGGGGGAAAGTAGTTTGAATTTGTTTTTTGAGTTTTTATACCACTTGTTCATTATGGTCAGTAGCAATGTCTTCATCCATGTTGTGTTCATTCATTTTTTCCTGCTGAAATAAGAAAGAAAGAATTGTTGAATTAAGGTTGTTGTCCTTGGATATTTGAATCTTTTATCTTGTCTAATTGCTGAAAAGTATACCTTTTGCTCATGGATTTGAGATTTTGTTTGCTCTGCATCTTTTTTCACAGTTTCACCACTGGTAAACAGTTGTTGCTGAGCAATATCATTTTCCCTTTTGCAAGTATTCTGTTTTTGACTCTTGCACTGTACAAGCATTAACAATAGAATCAACTTATACCTTATTCAGATTAGTAGTAATCCAGCTATAAAACTCAAATCTATGTATCACATCTAAATATTTGTGGAGTCTAGGTTAGCGTACCCAATCATTCAAAGTTAATTTGGATTCTTGATCTTGAGCCTCTTGTTTATACCTTTTATGCAGTTGTTTAAGCAATTGGTCTTGATTCTCTAGTTCATTCTCATCTTGATTCTCTTCGTTATCTTCAACACCTCCACCATCATTATGATCGGTATCACTCTCTTTTTCTTCATTGTCGTCTTCATTTTCAGCAATGGTTATCTGTTTTTGTAATGGAGTCAGTAGCTACGATTGTGAATTAGTAGTGCCATAGTATATATATGGATGATGAGTACCTTAATGTGCTCATTTTTCAAATGAGTTAGCTTCACGTTCAGCTCTGGAAGGCTCCATCTCGCAGCTGCCGGAGTCATGTCTTCTCTTCCAACAATAGGACTTATCAAGTTACCTCTTTGACACAACCAATACTGTTGATGCTCAAAATGGTAGAGGGTCAACTTAGAGAAAAGGGGAGTGTCTTTAGCAGGGAAAGTGGCTAGGACCTTCGGTAGGACAAAGGGCTAGGACCTTCGGTAGCTGGGTACCCTGCAGAAGACAAAGTAGGAGAAGCAGTCGTTAAGCTTCGGACACCGGTGTGGTGCCGGCCGAAGGCTCTTCGATGCTTAAGTCAGCTATAAGTGGTAACTTTGGCAGAGTAACGGTAAAAGTAAAAAATTAGTTACCTTTTTTACTAGGGTACTGTTCCCTATTTATAGGGAAGTGAAAGTGGGAGGTTTGTGTAGATTTCCAATGTGGGATTTTGTGCAAGTCGCTGTGGTGGTGACACGTGTCATGGAGATTAGGTTTGGCAATTGGGAGCTTCAGCAGTCGGGAGCTTCGGCAGGTGTCTGGCACCTTGGAAGAGTGTCCTCCTTCGGCAGTGGAGAAGGAGTGTCTGGCTTGGTGCTAATTGTTTTGAGGCTGGACATGCTCTGTTGATTATGGTGTAAACAAATACTACAAACATGGTTTTCAATGTGACGTGTTAATACATATGAGGAGAAAGCAATTATAGTATTAACTTTTTGGTCTCAGGGTTGTAGGTATTGATTAGTCTAAGAATGTCATAGTTAGACTTTTTGCAATTTGTGTTTGTTAGGTAGCCCTCTCTGTAAGCACTGATTAGGTTCCACAATGGTGTCTTGGCTAGCTGTCTGAGGGCCTGTTTGTTTGCATTAAGTCTGTCTTTTATGTTGCTCAATGTGGTCTGAAAAGTGAGCATATTGCTTTTGATTTGAACATAGTTGGGATCGTCTAGTCTTTTTGATCTTGGCTTTGGTGTTTTGGATTTTGCTTTTGTGTTGGTTGTTTTCTTGGGTTTTATGGTGGCTTTGTTTGTGGATTTGCCTGGGCCTTTTTGCTGTTGTGAAAGGTTCTTTGCCTGACATATCTGTAATTCAATGACACATTATTTTAAATAAACAAAGTTCTACTGCAGTGCAACAGAAGTGCGATCTCATCCCAAAACCTAATAAGCAACGGAGCAGTCTCGCAGTCTCAAACTCTCAGTCTGAGAGTGGCTTCGAGGCCTTGGAGGTAAGGAACTAACTAACTAACTAACCAGAGAGAAGAGAGCTTCCTCCTCACTCTGGTTTTGGGCCTTTGAGCTTCAGATAATATAGTCATACTGATAAATAAATAAAAAAAATAAAAAAATATAGAAAGTGGGTATACCTTGAATCCTGAGGCTGTGGTGAGTTGCAGATTCGGGTTTCTTTTACAAAACCCAAGTGTTATTGCATGTTAATAACTTGAATGGTAAAGACACTTCAGAAAATAAGTAAATGGGTTTGAGTTATGCTTTTACCTCTGTTGTCGAACAAGATTGTAATCTTTTTTCAAGAAATGTTGTTTGTTTTTGTGATGCTTTTGCAGTTTCCTTTCGATTTTTTAGTGGTTATGCATGTAGGTTTTCTGGTGGTTATGGAGGATATCGATGGTTACAGAGATGAGACAGAGAGTCTGGCAGGGTGCCTTGGGTTGTGGGTGTTGTTTTGTTTTTATTTATTTTGGGTTTGTTTTTTCCGTAAAAGTGGGCTGGACTTTTTGGAGTCTTTGTGTAATATATAGGTGTTTGGAGTGTTCTTTTGTTTGTGAAAATGGGAATCGATGACAAAATCCTTGATGCACTTGCTAACACATCTGCGAATTCTTAATTGGATAGTTATAAATAGCCCTAGAACAAAGGATTATCTCGAGTTTCAATATGGGATTTAGGGGCCTGAATCTCAAGCTCCCTTTATAATCCTTTGGTTATATTATTAGCGCGTTTTTGGACCTCGTAGATTGCGGCTTATTTAATGAATAAGCCAAATATATTTTTCAAATCCAAGGGCTAATATGTGTTTCACATCAACAATGATTTAGAGATGTCGGGCCCCAGCCTCAACTAATTAGGTTCCTCTACCAAACGGTCTACAGGTCCTTTCTAATAACTCCAGCCTTGAGATGGTTTCATAATTGATTCTAACCTGGAAAACTTCTGAAAACTCTTTGATCAAAGATTTACAAGTAATATCAAGTAGCTGGCCATCATCAGGATCAGGTACACGTGCTCTTTCACAGTCGGCGGATGACTGAAATTCCTTCAGCAAGCCTCTAACACTTCCAACCTGATAGTCTCGTAACCCACAGGGCACTATTGAACGAAAAGGGGTTAAGTCAGTGGTGACATTCAACGCTAAGCCATGATACATTATCCACTGTGATACTCGTATTCCGATGGCTGCCAGTTTCTGGTTTCCTGAAGAAAAATTAGATACAAACATCAAATGAACATCCCAGTTTTATTTCCTCTACCAATATTCTTTTATCTTCATAAGACAACAGAATTAGGGAAATATGAAATCACTGCTTTTAATGGAAGGTACGAGAGCAACCAAATGGCATGGCTATGAAAATATGCTAAGCTATTATTTTGAAAGGCGAAATATCATGTCTTTCATTTAGGAAGCATACCATGCCAAACACCAGTGAGGCCCTTAAGCCGTGATGCCTTGATACAAAATACCTTTGAAAGAGCACGGATGATCACCTCCTCAAGTGACCTGAGGTACCAATGAAGATCCATCTTGTGATTTCGGAGATTCATAATGGGGTACATAACTATCTACAGTGCAACACACACACAAGTTAGAAAAATTGAGCCTCTAAACAATTAAGTAATATGTTCAAATTGTGATTCATTCTTCACCACCAAGGGCAAACATAAAAAGTTTAAATGATGAATTCATCCATTGACATAGTACCTGACCAGGACCATGATATGTAACCTCGCCACCACGTTCGGTTCGATAAATGTCGAAAGGTGAGTCCTTGACGTCAAAATTAAGGAACTGCTCTGAACTAGCAGTCCCCAAGGTATAAACAGGACAATGCTGAAGAACAAACAGCGAGTCTGAGCAATCCTCATTCCTCTGAATCAAAGTTTTTTTCTCGTTAACTATGCTCTTCTGCCAAGCCCACGCCTGACCATATGGAACCTGCTGCTCGTACAGATTGAAGCACTCACACCTGCACAATTCTAAGTTGATCCTGTAAGTTGCATGGGACAATATGTGCATGTAAACGTACTTGACTAGGAAACTTACTCGTTTCTTGGCTCAAAGGTTAAAGATGTCGACTGCGGAATTTTAACATTTGAGACTCTATTTGATCTTGATAAGATCCGCCAGGAGAGAGATCGAGGAGGTTTATGTTGATGCTTGCAGATTGGGTACGTTGGGATTGAGGCAACACAATGAGTTGCCGTGAGAGTCATATTTTATGATCCTTGTAATTTGGTGATAGCCCTTAAGGCATGTTTGGTGGGCTGGCCTAGACTGGCATGGATTCGGCTTCAAGTATTGGACTGGGCTGGCTTGGACTGGCTTGGGTTTGAGTCTTGTCAGTTGTTTAGTACAGCACTGAGCTGGACTGGACTTAAATCTTTTATCTTTTTATTAATGTTTAGTATATTTTATCACCAGCTTCAATGACTCAATGAGAAGATCAGCTCTTGATTTGCATAGGTCTCACACCAAGAAGCTTAGGCTGCCATAAACAAAGAAACGTACATCAATGGAAAGTAACCAAAAAAGCCAGAGATTATTCATTCATATGTTGCTTTATTTCATCCAAGAACACAAACACAAGTAATAAAAATAAAGAAACATGAATGTTTAAAATGGTGATCATGATTCATGACAACAAATTAACTTAAAGAGTGAAAGGTTCAATACCATTGAAACTCATATATGGTTACTGCAACATCAGTGACTCAGCCCAATAAAGTAAACCAAGGCTGGATAACAAAAATTAGCAAGTCGATTAACATATTGGGTAAAATTTTATCAGGTAACTCAGATGAAGCATGGACAATGGACATTCACATCATTAAGGCTAGATAATAGAAATTAGCAATTATCTGACTGAACTCAATGGAGCTATTAGCACATTCCCAACAATCAGATGCATTCCTTCCCAAAATTAAATCTATACAGCACTGGTTTACTATAAGCCATTAAAAACAGTTTAATTGGTACAAAGAAGGTGATATACAAACACACTTGATGCACATTATGAGCAAAAGACTTGGAAAAAGCCTCAAATGCACAAGACTAAGACTCAGCCTATACAATCAAACTCTCCCAGAAGATCCAATTGCCCAAAACCATTCAACCTTCCAATGCATACCCAATAGAGAAAAAACTACCCAAAACAGAAACTACAACGAAACCCAACATTTTTGCCAATTATATTGACAAATTCCACGTCAAAAAGGAAGAAAATTTCAGATCAGAGGAGAAAAAAGAACAGAGAACTGAAGAAGGCAATAATAAGAAAACACAGCTGTCTTGTGCGGTTTTTGAATTGTGAAAACTTAGCAGAATCAAACATGGAATTCTCAAAACTTAAATCAAACAGGCCCACATCAACCAACAAGTTAGATTCAGAAAAAAAGTTTTAGAAAGTAAACTGAGAAGCAGCCAAATCAATGGAGTTCAAATGTTAGAATTAAACATGGAAATCAAGAAAAATCAAACTCGAATGGATAAGAAAATGGAGAAAAAGAAGCTACCTTGCAACAATGGCTAAAATCACAGTAGATACAGAGGGGCGTTGAAACCATGGTGGAGAGACGCCCATATCGAAGCCAGCACACCAAACAGGCCTTAAGGGATTGAGAATGGGAGTAGGAAAGGCGTCACTTTTCAGTTTAAACCGTCAACTTATAGTCAACCTTGACGCTTTTAAACTGTCAGCGTACCTTTTTCTTGACACTTATCAACTCTTTTCTTGATGGATTTTAACCGTCAAGAAACAAAAGGATAATATTAAAAAAAAAAATTCCACTAAAATATAATTAGATCGACTAATTTAATATAAAATAAATGTTATACATTAAAAACACGTTAAAAATTACACTGCAAACAAAACATACTGAAATGAACAAAGGTATCTAATACATAATATGTAACTACAAGAAAATCTCTATTATTCAACCTACTCTTCAGGATGATCCAATGAGATGAAATGCCATCTTCAATGTTTTAGTCATCCCAGGCTCACTAATACCCATCTCAATGTACAAGAATAATTAAAATGAAACATGAATTAGGCTTTAACAAATGTCATGCCAATATCTCAAATTCCATTATCTATATTTCCTACATTTGCAGAACCAAAATTTCATATTAGTGCAAGTGTTAGAACTTGTGATAGAATTGCAGATCAGTTATTGCAGCCACGACAAAGGATACTACTGTAAGTGCCAGAATCTGAATTTGTGATATTAAGGAGTTAGAACAAAAAGGAGAAGTGGTATAAGAACAAAATGGTTAACATTATCAAGAAACAAATATTAGAGCACAATAGAAAAAGAAATTAACCAATTACATGAAATTGGACACAAGCACCTTACAAACCAAAGTATGAACACCAAAAGAAATATGTAGTTAAGAAATGGTGCCAAGAAAAGAAGAAGAAGGGAAAACCAATGTCTACATACTTCTTGGTCTAGAACGGATTTGATGTCTCTTGATGATCTTTTACCAATACAAGAAGAAACTGCCTATTTAAAAAATGGTCAATAGTTACCAAACAAAAAGACTCAATGAAATTTCATATATTAATGTCATGTATACTAATACTAACAACTATAGAGGAATAAATTGCAGACAGAAAGTGCTAAGATAAAATTCAGAAAGAAAAAAAAAGGAAAGAGACAGTTCTACTTTGTTTATGAAAAGGACTAGTGTAGACTACATCACTCAAGAAAATTATCACCTTAAGAGAGAGATGCAAGCCTAACAAATGAGGCAATAACTCCAGTACTCCATCTCCCCAATATATCCTGAATGTAATCAAACTGAACATCATTGGAGGGGAATACATAACACCAACACTATTGTACACATTTCAGCATACAAATCTATCGAAGATTACAAGTGCTAGAAAAGGTTCACCCAAATTGAACTATATCAGATAGTATATAAAAAATCATTAAAGCCTACTCAATACGCATAAACACCAACATATACACAAAGGAAAACCAACTATTCCAACCCAATAGCATATATAACACAATTATAATCTATAAAAGCTTCCCATGTGCAAGAAACTCAACTTTAATTCAATAATTTTAAGAAAAATAGCTATAAAAGAAATATCAACATTTTGAAGAGGGTAACTACATGAGAAACCATTAAAATAAAATAAAAAAGTAGTTAGCTGAATTGATTTTTTTGACAGAGGAATCTGTCTTTTAGTCGAAAAGATGTAATATAGCACAAATATGATGGTACAAAAATGATTGTCATTCCATGGCTCTATATAACTTAATGCTAATAAGTTTGTTAGTTGTGCATATCCCAAAATTCAACATACGATAAACAATAAACGCACTATGATAAAAAATTTCCCCTCAATGAAAAAGTTAGACTACAGGTAATTAAGAAGTAAGACAAGAATAGCCAAATTGCAGAAGCTCCATCACCAATGCTTCTCTGCCAGTAATTGAAATGAACATTTAAAGTCAAAAGCTTGAAAATTTAGAACTCACACATAGACTAGGTACCTAAACCCGGGCTGGTAAGCATGAAAGAGAGGGCAATAATATGAATTAAATTGACGAAAGCAACCATTATCAAGCAAGTCAAGCATAATCAAAAGCAGTGGCTATGTACAAAATAGAGGAAACGGAAAAGAAAAAGAGATCGAGAAGGAGATTAGACACCATAAAAGGGAAAGCTTAGCTCTGCCACCACAAATGGGTCCGTACAAGCAAATCTTGTAGATTCAAAGATTACGAAATTTGGCTTAAACCTCCAAACGAAACCAAACAGAGTATGACAAAAAAAAAAAACCAAACCAAAGCGTGATTAGATTGAATTCATCAAAGATTTATTGATTGGGAAACATAAAAAGGATGGGTACTAAAAAAATACCTTTGATTTTGAATCAAACGGAGTTCTCATCTGTTAGAGATGAAAGATAGTGGCTGCGCAGCATCAGATCTAGATCTGAGAGAACAGGAGAGAGGCGAAAGGAAGAGACGATAAAAGGAAGAACTGAAAAGAATGAAGAAAAACAATGGGCTGGCATCAGATCTGATCTAGGAGTGAGAGAGACTTTAGGATAAAGTGCAGCACATGGAGAGATTCCATATACCATCGCGTCAGTTTCCCTGATGGTTTTCTAAAAACGTCAGGTTACATATGGTTATATATAATACTTTTAAATAAACGTCATTTATAGTCTACATATACTTGACGTTTCTAATAAACGTCAAAGCTAAAACACAAAAGGTGATACATTATATAAAAGCGTCATCAATATGCTACCTATACCTGACGTTTTTTTAAAAACGTCAAAGCTTAGCACAATAGGTGATACTTAATACAAAAACGTCAACTATCTAGTGTCAACTAAGATAGTTTTTCTTGTAGTGACAGAAACTAACGTTACTAACCAATCAAAACAGACCTAGCATGTATGTAGCATAACCTATTTAACAAAAAGAAACATAAACATAATTAATACAGTAGCATAACAACATAATGGCAGCAGTAGAAACAAAACCTAGTACTTTGACAGAACCTAATTTCATAAAACAAAAATTAATTTAGCAAAACAGAACCACCAAGGACAGAACCAAATAATCACAACAATATAATTTAACAGAATAACCTAATTGGTAGCAGCCCTAATTAGAATAATTTAACAGAAGAACCTAAATGCTAGCAGCCCTAATTTATATAATGAAACTAACAAATCATAATTTCTTTGTCAATTTCAATTTTCAAATAATCATCACAACATAGCATAAACTAATTGGTGGCAGCCCTAATTTGACAACCCTAAAACCTTAACAGAAAAAATATATCATCACATCAACCTCAACCACCAAATCGACAAGCCTAATTTAAAAGAAAATAAACCATAAATTTAATTTAGAATAAACCCTAAATTCAAAGGAAGATGATGCTCTCACCTTTGACTGATTTGAGAGAGAACCCCACAGAAGAAACCGGAGGAGAGGAATAGATGGTGATCACAAACTGAGAAACATAGAAAAATCGAGATAAGAAGAGAGAGTTAGCGGAGCAAAACAAAAAACTGGGAAAAAATTTAACATATAAGAGAAAGAGAAGCTGACCTGTCGCTGCGTGCAGGGCTGATCGACTGAGAGTCTGAGAGTCCGAGAGTCTGAGAGTGAGAGGATCGTGAGAATCGTGAGAGAGTCTGAGACTGAGAGAGACGCGGTGGCTGATCGGCTGAAGGAGGCGCGGTGGCTGATCGACTGAGAGTCTGAGAGTGAGAGGATCGTGAGTGAGAGAGAGAGAGAGAGACTGAGAGAGTAGTGGTGCTGGTGCTATGCGAGGATTGAAGATCTAAGGGAGGAGGCGGGTCGAGAGAGAGAGAGGTGAGGCGCCGCTTAGTGTTAGGTCAAAACGAAAAGAAAAATTAGAACGAAGAGAAGACTGAGGGAGATTCGTGAGAGAGAGAGAGACTGAGAGAGTAGCGTGTGTGTGTGTGAGGCCATCTCCAACCCTGGGGCTAAACCCAGAAAAATCCCAAAATTTGGCCCGAATTCATCTCCAACGCATGTATAGGGAGGGGGGGAATTTTAGGCAGACTGATATGTGGGGCGGTATTTGGCCCAGCTTTCCAGTCCAGGCGGAATCGTTGTGGGGCCCAATTCGCATCAAACCAAGGAGCCACGTGAAGACCCCAGCTACATGGACCACCTATCACCAACTTGCCCATGCTGCTTGCGCCACTTGTCAAGCCCAGAACAACTATTTGTTTCAATCCAACGGCTGCATTAAGTTGATGTGTCAATTTTATTTTATTTTCATTCTGCAAATAATCAATGGCCAGGATATTTTTAAGCTATCTCAATGGGAAAAATTCACATCCAATGGCTGAAATTTAAATCCAACGGCAAAATTAATTTTTATTATTACTCTAAATCAGATTCAACCCAAAATAATTTTGTGATTATCATTTATCTTAATATGTTTTGATTTTTAAGTGAAATTATATTATGTTTTGGATTTTGAATTTTTTTTAGGTTAAAATGTTGAGTGAGAGGATCGTGAGAGAGAGTGAGAGGATCGTGAGAGAGAGAGAGATTGAGAGAGTAGTGGTGCTGGTGCTATGCGAGGATTGAAGATCTAAGGGAGGAGGTGGGTCGAGACAGAGAGAGGTGAGGCGCCGCTTAGTGTTAGGTCAAAACGAAAAGAAAAATTAGAACGAAGAGAAGACTGAGTGAGATTCGTGAGAGAGAGAGAGAGAGAGAGAGATTGAGAGAGTAGCGTGTGTGTGAGGGTTACAGCAAAAAAAAAATTGCGTAAGGGATCTGGTGCAAGCACTCTCACACTTCCTCTTTTTTTGGCCAATCACATGAGGCCACGTGTAAATTATATATATATTTAAATATTAACCGGTTCGGTTCAGGTCCACTGGTTCTGAAAAAATTAGAACTGAGAGTCGAACCGTTGACCTTCGGTTCGGTTCAGGTCCAGGTTTGACTTTTTCGGTTTGGTCAAAAAACACTCTTTTTTGGTTCGATTTGGGTTGGTTCGGTCGGTTTGATCGGTTTATCGGTTTTTATGCCCACCCCTAAATAAACCGCAATGAAAAACTTGACGATGTGATGGATAATATTAATAATAATAATACTAATTATCAAACAACACCTTAAATTATACCCCAAACTAAACCTGAGAAATAAAATGTTGATTTAAAAAATCTGCAACTAAAAGAAGATTAGATGATTACCTGGGGTCAGTGAAGCTCTGAGGCTTATAAGAAGCAGAATTGAAATTAGAACATAAGAAGTGTCACTACTACAAAAAGTGAAAAAGACGACCAGAAAAAGACGACGGTAGAAGAAAAAACCGTCGTTGTGTTTAAAAAGACGACAGTAACAAAAAAACCATCGTGGATAAGTGACTTAAACAACTAAAAAACGGAGGTACTATTGAATATTTTTTTATAACGACGCACACAAATAAAAAAGCGTTGTCTTATTAAAAAGGTTTTCTTCAGAGTTAAAATCTGACCAAAAAACGACGACAGCAGATATGATAAGCGTCGTCTTTTAAAAATCAAGTGTCCTTTTTTTGGTAAAGACTGGTTGTTTTGAAAAAACTGTCGTCTATTATATGTAAAGATGTAGGTTTTTTTCTCAAAAAGGGTCGTTTATTATGAAGTAAAGATGACGGTTTTTTTTTAAAAAAAAGGGTCGTCTATTATATGTAAATATGACTTTTTTTGTAAAAAATGGTCGTCTATTGTGAAGTAAAGATGACGGTTTTTTTTTTTTTAAAAAGGGTCGTCTATTATATGTAAATATGACTTTTTTTGTAAAAAATGGTCGTCTATTGTGAAGTAAAGATGACGCTTTTTTGTAAAAAAGGGTCGTCTATTGTGAAGTAAAGATGACGGTTTTTTTAAAAAAGGGTCGTCTATTATATGTAAAGATGACGTTTTTTATAAAAAAAACTGTCGTCTATTATATGTAAAAACGATGGTTTTTTTAAAAAAAGGGTCGTCTATTATATGTAAAGATGACGGTTTTTTTATAAAAGCGTCGTCTTTTAAAACACGCTAAAAAATGGCCGCTTAAGTGAATTCGCGCTCGACAAATTTTCAAATTTTCACCCGTCTTTGAAAACCTTATCTCTCATTAACAAGCGTCGTCTTTTAAAACACGCTAAAAAAAGGCTACTTAAGTGAATTCGCGCTCGACAAATTTTCAGATTTTCCCCCGTCTCTGAAAACCTTATCTCTCCCTCCTTGAAACCCTCCTGCACTCTCTAAAACACCCTCATGAAACTCTCTACAAAATCATCAAAAAATTGATATCAATGAAAGAGTTGAGAGATTTTCGCAGATCCATAAGATGTAGAGGGAGGTTCTGTATTTGAGAATCAAAGCTGGTTGAAAGGTTTGATTTGAAAGTCACCTAATCTCTCAATACCCTTCTATATCTTGCTAGTGAATTCTGGATTAGTCTCTTTGCGTTTCTAGTATGTTCTTTGTCTCCTTGATTTCAAATTTTCTGTCTCTCTTGATTTGTCTGGTTTGTTTATATATAATTTTTTTATATTTCTGGTTTCTTTTTAGATTTTCTGATTTGATTATCAGGAGATGAGGAGGAAGCTTGCAGATTTATAACT